TTACGCCCGTTAACGAAACGCGTTTTCTCCGGCGCGAGGAATGTTTCGTTTAGCCGCATAAGAAGATTTTTCAGCGATGAAAGTTGCACGTTTTCGGAATCGGGCCTAAAATGGGTTTTGCGGGATTTTTCAACCTCCGCTTGGTCCTCTTTGGGGAGCTCCGTTTCACCTGCCTTGCAAAATCGTTCCGTGGCCTTTGAGCTGGGGTGTTTCCCTGCAGACGTCTCGTGACCCAGCTAGGCAACATCATCAGTGCGAGGAGGAGGAGGAGGACTGCGTGGTGCTTGTTACTCTCTTATTTTCTTGCAGAGTAGTTTCCATGGTAGGTAACGTCATCAGTGCTAAAAGCGACCCAGGTTTGATCTCTTCATATACTCCCTGTTTATATGACTGGGAAGACGGTTTTCTTCTGGGTGTATCCTTGATTAGACTGTTTTTCACTTCTAAACTGCCGGCAAACCGCTCGTACATAAACCAAGCGCAAACCCGCCCTCCCATCTAGAACTGATGATGTTGCCTAGCTGGGTCACGAGACGTCTGCAGGGAAACCCCCCAGCTCAAAGGCCACGGAACGATTTTGCAAGGCAGGCGAAAGGGAGCTCCCCAAAGAGGATGAAGCGGAGGTTGAAAAATCCCGCAAAACCCATTTTAGGCCCGATTCCGAAAACGTGCAACTTTCATCTCTGAAAAATCTTCTTATGCGGCTAAACGAAACATTCCTCGCGCCGGAGAAAACGCGTTTCGTTAACGGGCGTAAAAAGGAACACTTGCCGAAAACCTGCATTTGTCTCTCCCTGCATTGCGACTTTCAGAAGAGCACAAAGTCCATGGAGGTTTTTGGAGACACACACACACGCACGCAAACTCTCTCGCCTCCTTTCCGCACACACCAAACACTGAAGACCAAGGCAGCTGGCGGGGTTTGGCAAATTGTTTTACTTAAAATATTAATTTCATGGAGAGCCTGGCACGGATGGATGTACATGGCAGAGGAGGAGGAGGAGGAGGAGGAGGAAGGGGGCACGTAGAGAAAAATGGCTTCCATCGCGAATCTTCCCCGGCAACGGAAACGCCAATATCGCATTCGACGTCACTGTCGAGTTTCACTGTCGAGGCAAGCAAAGCTTTTGAGGGAGGGGGGGGCGAGCGGGGGATGGGGGGGCTGCTGGGCATGTCCAGAGTGCAACTCCTGGGTCGGGGAGGGTCTGCTGGCCCCTCCCTCAAATAACCGAGGTCGCGTGGCAGAAGGGGCATCTGGAGGAGTTGAGGAAAGCCTTAAAGATGCCACCTGGGCAAGGAGTTTGGGCTTGGTGGTCCTTGGTCGAGGACGATGGGTGTGTGGGGCCACTGCCCCCCTCCCCTCCCTCCTTGCAACGGGTTCATTGGCTGAGCAGTGCAGACCCCCACCCCAAAAGAGAGCTCGCAGCAACCCAAGGACTTACATCGAGTCAGGGGGCTCTGTTGCTCTTCCCCCCCCCCCCATGTTGGCCACTATAGCTGTGCCCCATTCAGGGAGCGGTGTGTGTGTGTGTGTGTGTCTTCTGTCCCCCTCCCATTTTTCAGGCCAGGCTCCAGGCCCCCTTCTGCTCCCCAGTCAGAAGCCGAAGTGGGATGGGGGGGGCGGGTGGGAGGCGGAAGATGTAGCCGAACCGAAGGAGCTGGAGTGGTGTGTTTGTGTGTGTGTGTTTTAATTTAGCTAAATTAAAAGTCACACCGATTTTAAAAAAAGAGAGATTGAAAGTGTGACACGTACGAGAGTATATTCTTCTATACAGGTATGTCACGGGGAGACATTTAAAAAAAAAAAAAACTTTTACGTTTCTGAGCCCTATAGGTGTGTTAAAAGGCAAATCCTAAAGTTAGTAGCTAGTGTTTGCTTTTAAGTGTGCAAGAAAAATAATGTACAACAGAACGCCGGGTGGCACAGCTGGTAGCGATTTGACCAAGCTGAAGAACCAGCTGCTCCCGGGGACCCCACGGGCGCTAAAAGCCAGGCCCCCTTCCCTGCCGTGGCATAGAAGGTACCGAGAGCCAGCTCCCTCTGGGGCCGCGACGGGCCCCGCGTGGCTCCCCGGAGGCCGAGTCGCCCACAGAAACCGAGGCGCCCGCTCGACACGGGCTTGGCAAGGACTGGCACCCACTCGGCCCTGCCCCGCGACCAACCTCTCCAGTCGCCGGCAGCAGCAGCCGCAACTCCCCGTGGCAAGTCAAACCCTTACAAACGGTTGCGGTTGGACGTGTAAACGAGAAAAATAATAATAATAACAACAACAATAATAATAATCATGTGGCAAGCCCAATAAAAACTGGGAAACGTAGTGTCAGGAGGAGCAGAGACTCCCGGTCTCTTGGCGGCGGCATTTAGGGGGCGATTTATGGCATCGTTCACAAGAACCTCTGGCATCTGAGCATGGTTGGCTGCGGGCCGGGAGGGTTCGGAAGGAGAGCAGGTGCACCGGCCGGGAATGGGGGGCCGGCACGGAGTTCTGAGGCTGAACTTTGGGGAGATGTCACAGTATTAAGCCCTGAAAAAATAGGCTCTCCTGCCCCTCCCCCTGGCTCCTCCCCCTCCCCTGCGCGCATGCACTCACGGCCACTCGCACGCCACCCAGCCCCTGGGGCCGAGCTGCACAAAGGGGTTCGAGCAGGTGCATTTTACTAGTGCAGTTCTGTCCAAGCCGCCGCGCGTGCCCGGAAATTCGCGAGGCTGCGCGTCGTAGTGCAACAGAAAACGCGCAAAAGCCCGCGGGCCTGGGGGGGGGGGGCGGCCTCTTTTGATGGGCAAGGTCCTGGGCAGCTGCTTTGCTTGGGCCCCTCCCTACAAGGAACCCCATGGCGGGGGTGTTGGGGGGGCAGGTAGACCGACACGGGCGAAAGGGAGCTGGGACTCCAGGCCCCCTGGACAAAGTCACCCTCGGAGGTAAAGGGGGGACGCTCTCGCCTTCCTCCTTGAGCTGCAGGGGAGGCGGGGACCCCACTCTCCCCACAGCCCTGAAGAGGGGGAGGCATTCCTACCCCTCATGCCCGCACGGAGCTTCCTTAAAGCCGGTGCGTGTCAGGTGAGAGAGCCACACTACAGCCAAATACTATGACATCCCAAATAGCAAACGCGGAACGCAATGCTTGCCGCGCAAGACAGGCCCACCGAACGGTACCCGGAGCCTGCGCTTGCCCGGGACCGGTTCCTGGGGGGGAAGAGGCCTGTCGGCAGTTCCTTTGGGCGGGCAGACGGTGCCGGCAGGGCGGCCAGCCCGTAAAAGGGGCACCGAACGGAAGGTATTATGTGTAAGACATGTGTGACCCATTGGATATTTGTGAGGTGACGCTGGCGCTGCGACTCATGCCCGGCTCAGTCCGTCCCCCGGAAGGCGTCCGCCTCAGGGCTTGGGGGCTGTTACGGACCCCAAGTGAGCCACCCCGAGGCACCGCCTGCAGGGGCCCTGAGGGGTGTCCCCACGGCTGGGGGCCCCCTTGCATGGGATGGCCCCAGGCCTGAGGCTGGCCTACCATGGGGTGGCCCCAGGGAGGGCCCGGACCCCCCGAAGGGTGGTGGGACCAGCTGGAGGCTCCGGGGTAGCTGTGGCTGAAGGCCTCGGGGGAGAGGTTGGAGAGCAGCATGTTGCTGAAGCCCAGGCGCATGCTCTCCGAATCAAAGGCCTCGATTTCCCGCGCCTGGCGCTCCAGCAGGCCCCGGATCCGTTCCGTGCGCTCGTTCTGTAGAGCCAGCATCTCTTCCTCGATCTGGACAGGAAAAAAAATCGGGAAAGAGAAAGGGGATGTTACCCCGAAGGTCCCCCAAAGACCCCCTCCTGCTTTTCCCCTTGGCCGGGGTGGGAGTCCCTTTTGCTGTGGCTCTTTGGAGAGTAAGCGGAACAAATCGTGCATTCCCGGTCGTGGGAACCCTCTGCCGACCCTGAATCTCCCCTGACCGAAGCCGTTTTGACAGCTTCAGAGCTGCCACCCTGGAACTCAGGGCTAGGGAGGTGGGGGGGGGGATTAGAGCTAGCTGGGGTTCTGGTAGCCAAAATAAAACACTTTCTCTTGGGAACCAAGGACACTCTCACTCTTGGGGAGAGGAAGGAGGAGTGAGGTCACCAGGCAACCGGAAAAGGGAAAGACCTTTTAATTAGGTGAAAACCGCGGGACACTTCAGAGCTGTTTTTCACCAGATCTGTGCCCATATGATATATCCGTGATGGTGAACCTGTGGCACACAGAGCCCTCTCTGTGGGAAGGCATGCTGTCACCACTGCTCTTCATGAGCGCCCGAGTGCCTGAGAACAGCCGGAAAACTGCCCAAAAAGCAGACAATTTTTTGGGCCATTTTGAGGTGCTTTTCAGGCCATTTTTGGGCTGTTTTCAGGGTGTTTCCGGCCCCAAAACAGCATGAAAATGACCCCCAAAATGGCCTGAAAACTGCCCCCAAAACGGGTCTGTGTGCACCGGCCATCTTGTCTTTGGGCTTCCGGTGCTCTGTTGCGCATGTGCACACTTGCATGCACGCACGGTCCGATTTGGGCACTCGGTGCCAAAAAAGTTCACCATCACTGTGATATATCCCAAAAGCTACCATATTTTTCGGACTACAAGATGCACCGGAGTATAAGACGCACCATGGTTTTGAAGAGGTACATTTTTTTAAAAAAAAAAGGTTTTTCCATTTTGCAGGCCTCCCAAACCCTCCGAACACCTCGTTTTTTGCAACAACAACAACAAAAAGGGGCACGCAGAGGCTTTGGGAAGCTTGAAGAGTGCTCCTGGAGGCTGGGGGGGGGGAAGGGGGGAAATGAGCAAAAAACCGGGCCATTTTTTCCAAAAGAAAGAGCATGCAGAGGCTTTGGGAGGCTCTTAGGGTGCTCCTGGAGGCTGGGGGGGGGGAAGGGGGGAAATGAGCAAAAAACCGGGCCATTTTTTCCAAAAGAAAGAGCATGCAGAGGCTTTGGGAGGCTTGTAGAGTGCTCCGGAGAGAGGCGGCAAAAACAGCCCACTTTTTGTTCATTTCTGTCCTCCCCATTCCCCAGGAACACACTGGAAGCCTCCTAAAGGCTATTTGTGGCCATTTTGGTGAAGGGGCGGGGTTTTGGGAGGCCAAAAATGCTGTATTTAGTGTATAAGACGCACCCAGATTTTCGCCCTCTTTTTGGAGGGGAAAAGGTGCGTCTTATACTCCGAAAAACACAGTATTCCTTGATGAATTCATCTGCCTCGGAGTTTTGCTTGCTGTGGGTCTGTTAAGTGGAACCTTCCACTGTGCAAAGACCCTTCACCCAGCATTGCCACGGAACAACGGAGAACACCCGGGGGTGGGTGGGGGAGACGACCAGGGGTCTGCAATGGATGGGGCAACGTTAACATCCTTGCCAGGGGAAGGATTTTCAGGGTTTGGGGAGTAGCAGTCCTCGACTTACAACAGTTGGATTACTGGCTTTTCAAAGTGACAAGAGGGCTGAAAAAAGTAACTTATCACCATTTTTCACACTTACGACCTTTGCAGCCTCCCTGTAGTCACGCGATCAGACTGCGGACGCTGGGCCACCGGCTCGTACTTATGACGGTCGCAGTGTCCCGGGGTCACATGATCCCCTTTTGCGACCTTTTGACCAGCCAAGTCAACAAGGGGAAGCCAGATTCGCTTAACGACCATGTTGGTAACTTAACAACTGCAGGGATTCACTTAAGAACCACATTACTAACTTAACCACTGCGGTGATTCACTTAACGGTGGCAAGGAAAGTCGTAAAACAGGGCAAAACCAGCTTAACAAATGTCACGGTATTGTAACTTTGCCACTGAATGGTCACTAAATGAATAGTTGTTCTTCCTTCCTTCCTTCCTCCCTCCCTCCCTTCCTCAGTTTAACTCTCTCATCTTCTTTCCCTTCATTTTAACTGTCTCTCCTTCCTTCCTTCCTTCCCTCCCTCAGTGTAACTTTCACATCTTTTTCCCCTCATTTTAACTGTCTCTCCTTCCTTCCTTCCTTCCTTCCTTCCTTCCTTCCTTCCTTCCTTCCTTCCTTCCTTCCTCAGTCTAACTCTCTCATCTTCTTTCCCTTCATTTTAACTGTCTCTCCTTCCTTCCTTCCTTCCTTCCTTAGTCTCTCTCATCTTCTTTCCCCTCATTTTAACTGTCCTTCCTTCCTTCCTTTCTTCCTTTCTTCCTTCCCTCCCTCCCTCAGTCTAACTTTCTCATCTTCTTTCCCCTAATTTTAACTGTCTTTCCTTCCTTCCTTCCTTCCTTCCTTCCTTCCTTCCTTCCTTCCTTCCTTCCTTCCTTCTCATATTCCTAGATCACCCATCTCTAGAAATTTAGCGCCAAATTGTTGGAAATGTGATTCCGAATCAGGCACGTACTGCCATATGCGCTGGTCGTGCCAAAAAACAAAAGAATATTAGCGGAAAATCCAAAAGTGGCTGATAGAGATAACCGAAGAGGGAATAGAATTCACACCAGAACTATTTCTTTTGGGGATTATAAATGATAATTTACTTAATAATACATATTATTACAGCAGCAAGAAGGGTCTTTGCCCAAAACAGGGAAATCCCACAGGAAGGGGAAATAATTAGGAAAATTCTGACTTGTGCTGAAATGGATAAATTGACGTGGGAATTGAAGAACAAAGACGAATCTGAATATTATTAAGATCTGGGACAAATTTTATTGATGGTTTCCAGAAAAGGAAAGACCCAAAATAAGGAATGACTAAGATTTATAGAATAGAGCAGTGTTTCTCAACCTTGTCAACTTGAAGATGTCTGGACTTCAACTCCCAGAATTCCCCTTCC